TGGGAGAGACTTTGGCTTGGATGTAAGAAAGGACGTGACGTCTGCGCTTCGGAGTTGAGGGGCTGAGAGCTGGTGTGATGCATTTCTGAGTCTCTTACCATCATGTGCTTAATTGAGAGATTGTTCTGGAAGGCTTCACCAGATGCTTGGACAGCAACAAATCTAGTGTAGCCGTTTTGGTGATATGGAACTTCATGACCACCCGTCAAGCTTCAGAATTACTTTAGCTTATAATGGCAGACAAAGCGAAGCCAACTTGAGGAAAGTGTTCACCTTTCACACACATCTCTTCGGCTCCTGACCTAAAGCGTCGCAGGAGTGGGCCCCTCACCTCCATGCCCCTTCTCGACATTGGCTATACTCGCCAGGACGGGGAGGGTGGTGAAGCCCAGCTTTGAATGGGTCTCAGCATGTCCTTCCTGCCTGTTCTTTGTTATTTTTCTTGCTAACCGCTGCCAGGAGTCGTTTCCAAGGGCGGAAAGGGGGGCGGAAAAGCGGGCGGTGGCAAGGGTGGAAAGGGGGGCAGTGCCAGGAAAGGCAAGGCCGGCGGAAAGGGAGAAGGGTTCAAGGGATATGGGAAGGGAAAAAGCGGTCCCGCCGCGGCCTCAGCGCGGGTGGAAGGTCGTCTATAGCTTGCAAGTTAAGACGTAAGCTGAGGCAGCGCACATGCGTCCTGATGGCAAGGCCCTAGCAAGCGCGAGCAGCAAACTACTTTTTTAATATAAGGCCGGGTCTTTGCGAGGCTTGGGCGGTCAAGAACATTGCGGCTGAGCCAGCAGGTGTGGAGCAGGCAGTCACTCACCACAGGCCTGGACATGCATCATGTGCTGGCTCATTTGCCGGATTGGCGAACGGCAGGCCCCGAGCGCGTGGAAGGATGAGCTGGCGCGGACCGCGGCATTCCATGTGCCGCATGCCGCGTGAATCGATGCGTTTGGGCCGAGGTACTCCACCGGCAATTAGGGCGGCATCTACAATGGTACATGAAGCAGGTTCACACATAGCTCGTTCGTTCTGTAGGTTTACATCAAGCCCATTGGAGAACATTGCCAAGTGTGCAGTTGCTGCAGCATCTGCAGCCCTGGGCTCGCTAAACCAGGGCCATAATGGCTTCCTCAATAATCTGACTAATAAAATTGCAAGTTGACCTTGGCACTGTGTGTATGTACGAAAAACTTCCTGTTTTTTTTCAGACTTCCAACACACTGGGCCGGGAAACTTTAGCCACCTGGGCTGGTCACTTCCGGTCGGAGCATGCCCCTTCATGCATGCGCCCTCAAGGACAAAGCAGGCCAGCCAAAGATAATGCCTACTCACTTTTTGGAGCTTCCTGAAAAAAGGAGCTTTGCTTGAGATTTTCAGACGCTGGAATTTGGATGCGAACGCAGAATCTTCCACACTTGTTCTGCTGCAAGATGCGAACTGGTCAGCGTGACAAAAGATGGCCCAGGCTTGGGATGGAGATGTTTCGACCGAAATGCAATTAAATATTCTGGGACGTAATCGTTTATTTGCAAGTGCTCATTTATGACGCCAGTATTGGGCATCTTCGTTGAAATTTTATGGTAAGCGCATATAAATGAGGAGGCTATTTTATTAAAGATTCATTTATTAAGGAGAATATATTATGAATATTATTTCTCATATTTTCATGAGATCAGATATGGCATTTCAAAACGAATATATGATATTAATATTCTGGAGATCATGTAGAAAGAGATGGTTGGATTCGATTGATAATTAAATCTTATAATAGGAGTCGCGGTCAAAATTATCGTTTACTTCATGTAGTCTAGGCGGTAATTAGGACGGAAAATCTCGAAAATGAATAGGATATATCTTAAATTTATAGGCTTATTTCATAAAAATGAGAATTAAGAAGAGATCTCTGAAATATGGTATTTGATAGGGAACGCCTTAATTCAGAAACTAAGAGAGAATTAAAAAAAAAGGATGCCACTTAATATATATCGATCTTATTCTATTACCAAAAGATTTTATTTACGATAATTATCTAAGTAATCAAATTTTTATTACGGATAATTCGTTCGTATATGATCTCTTTTTTTGATTTATTTCTGAAATATTTCTTCTATATTTCTGAGAGGATCTATATTTTTTGGATTTAATCTTTCGAAAAATTAATCGTTCTAAGATTTCTGAGATATTTGAAATTCTTATTAGATATATTTATTTTCATATTTATTTACAAGATATTTGAGAATTATCACATATTTTCTTATATATAATTCTAAATATATATATATATTCGTGATTAATTTGCCTCAAGAATTGCCCGCAATAGACCCTATTCAATAAAAATTTCTAAACGATTTATGCTATTTATTCAGGGGTATGGTTAGGTTCAGCTTAGGAATTGCTTTGCTGGTTTTATTACGTTATATTTATCTTAATCTCTCATTATATTGGTTTATAGCTTTATAATCGTTGACTTGGAATGATCTTATTTCAGTTCATAGAATATTAGCCGTAACTGGCGGGTCTTGATTGGATTTGCATTATCGTATCCTTATTTATTTCTTATATTCTCGGTTGCATCTATTGGACTATCGGATCCCTTGGATTCTTGGCGTCCCCTACTTATTTGGGAAAACGATAATTCCGAGATGATCTCTGAGAACTACCATATTGAATCGGCATTGTCTGCCGATCATCAATTTGATGCTCTCTTAGCAGAATAACGTAGACAGATATCCGGATTGGACCGTGATATCACGCGTGGGATTGTTTCCGCTTTGCTAGTTCGACCTTGCTCTGCTCCGCTTGCGCTTGCCCCGCTTTTTGCCCTCAGGGGAGAATTGCTTGCTTGCGCCCGCTGGCGCGCATCAGCAGGCTGCTTCTACCGCGTTGAGCATGGTCGATACGTCGGCTGCCGTTGCATCTTGCTCCGCTTATGTACTTGCTTCTTCTTGATCGATTATTAATACGAATCCGAATACAAACGTATTTGAGGTGTCATCCTTGAGAGATCTTTCTGCATTCTTTGCATCTTCTCCTCCTTCATCTACGGCATCACGAATTCCTTTGGCATTGGCGGAGCATGACAATATTGATCAGCATGGCGTTCCGTATGCTTATTTTTTTCTATCTTCTGGCGATCAATTTACGTTCTCGTATGATCACGGCGGGGCAGCCTTCCCTATTGGCAGATCGCATTCGCATATTGGCTTTATATTATCGCCTAATGTTTCGTATGGCATTTTTGATACTACCGAGTTTGACCATTTGAGATACGTGATTGATTGAAGCTTTTCGTATTGAAAATGATTGAAAATGATATAATCCATGAGATCCTAGAGCATATTGGGATATCTTTCCATATCGAGCTTGAATCGATGAATATTCGTTAGATGAATGGATTTGGTCATTTACGTGATCGGCTTGCCGATCTGAATCATGATGATTTTATTATCGTGAAGCGTGAAATTGATCGCCTCAGGACCGAGGGAGATGATACCGCGTCAAAATTTCCAATTATTGATCATATCAATCATGCCGTATAGATGAGCTGGATGATATTGAATTTGATTCATCGAAGAAGCTTGAGGATATCCGAATCGAGATTGATAATCGATTGCATAGATTTGAGGACATATTTGCGAGTCGAATAATCAAATTTGAAAATTTTGTTCAATCGTAATTGGCAATATATCGTTTATCATTCATATCGATTGATCGTCGATTTGGGTAGATTGAGATTAAGATGAAGATAATTGGATCGACGTCCAGCGCTATTGCTCATCCCAGACCCGTTGCTCAACAACTTCCGCGCGTGCAATCACTGATTTCATAAGATATTGCTCAGCATGCTGCATCCATAGCTGATCCCCCATCCGGAGGTCAAAATCTCCAAAATTATATGAATTTAGATGCCGTCTATGATGATGATCAAGATTCGGTTAATAATAGGCGAATCAACCGTTCGTTGGAGCGTCAACGACCGCTCATATTGAGAGAGATCGGCGGATTCAGACGTGATGACGTTGGAAATGATATTGATCGTTCTATTGCTGGGAATCCGAGAATTCTTCAATCTCAGGATACGTTGTTATCTCGAGAACGATCAATATTCAAGGCGAATCCGTCTCCGAATATATTTGAAGCTGCCCCAATTGAGCAGGATAGCAATGATCAAGCGTCGTCATCATCTCAAATTCCGAATATTCCAATCTATCAGAGATCTGATCTTCTTGCGATTGAATCGTTGATGCATTCCGCAAATTAGATTGCGGACGGTAAGAATGACGTTGCCTATGAGAGGAATTATATGATTTTCGGAATCCGTATTATTCCCGCTCAGCCATTCTTGCATATCCGTATTGAATCGAAGATCTCGTCTCCTATTCCGAATATTGATCAGAAGGGCGTGGGTCCGAATCTAAAATATTGCATTCAATATACGAGATTTATGCCTGATTGGCGATTGGCCTATCGAATCGAGACCAATATCTGGCTTCGCGGAAGATTTGACCTTCGCGCAAAAGATTCGTTTTGATGAATGAAGCTCATCAGCTGAAAAAAAATCCAATCGTTGGATTGACGCCATATTGGGAAGATTCGGATATATTGAGCGTAGATATATTGCGGAGAATAGAACTGGAATATTGATTGCTGCCGTTCCAATCCATATTGTGCGTCAGCTATTTTGCCGATATTTTCGCAAATTCGGATCTCCTGATCATCCTGCTGCGTATGGCGAAATTTATACTGGTTTTGCCCGACTTGATACGTGCAACAACGATATGCCCAATTCGACACAAGAATTGGCGAATCAAATCGCTGGTCAGTCAATTAGATAATCCGGATAATCCGGACATGGCGGCGGAAATATATCATATGAATAGAAAGAGCGAAATCATGATATCTGGTATAAAATTGATGATCCTCATGCAATTGAATCGATTCTTCCGCCTGGTCCTCCTGCTGGCCCGCCTGGCGAGGGAAGGGGGGCGGATCCGGTCCCTCCGCTGGTCGTCCTTCTGATCATGAGAATGCAGGCGATGGTCACGATGGCGATGGATCGCCTGATGATCATGATTTCTTCCCGTCTGATATGCGTTCTGGCCGTAGATCTCCCGAGGATGAAATATTATAAGAGAGATACGGTCGAAATTATATCCATATTTCGACGAGATATTATATCTCCTATCATTTTCGTTGCTATCCGATTTATTATTTTGATCCGATACGAATTTGCCGAATTTATCTTGAATATACGATCCTGGCAATCCTGACTTGAATGGAGATCGAAGACCGAGGGACGACCAAGAAGCCTGCAAAGATGATCAGAAAATCAAATCATCAATTTTGAATACGAGCCTATTCCGAATCAATTGAGGAATTAGATCGTTGATTTCAAGGAGAAGATTGCTAATACATTCGCTTATGATATCGAATATATATTGAAGTAGATCGAAATCTCAGAGGATGCTGACTATGAGTCATTATCAGCTCCATATAAGAATGGCAATTTTGAAAACGAATTCAATGTCGCATTGAGAAATAGCGTGATCTCTGCATC